TTTGCCTTTTATAATTCAGTAACTCCCCCCCCTTCCCATACCCTAAATTACAGGATTTTCACAAAGGGTGGCGTTGAAAAATTTTCTGCTCCTTAGGGGGGCGGCAGCTTCAAAAAGGTTGAGAATCACTGCTTTAAAGCAACTCATCCTTTTTCTCATTTTAGTGAGTCTGTAGAAATATGTGGCTACTGTAGAAATATGTGGTTTACTTTACATTAAAACAGCTAGATCTTTTTCAGGCTCATGAAGAAACCTGGAAAAAGATTTGTTTTAATGAATTGCAAAGAACTGCTGGGCCAATGCAAGTTCTGAAGCTGTTCTTCCAAATCATTTTCAAAGCATGCACAATGCTAGAAGACAATAAACTTCTAGCTAACTGTTCCTAAAGCATTTTGAGTTCAGATCTGATTGTTTAGGCACACAAATATTCTATTCAAAATTGCAAACATGAAGTGACTCATTTCCTTAAAATCCAAGGAAAATCTGACTTTGCTTTTGCCATTATCATCTTCCTTGTGGCTTGTCTGTACTTCTTCAGGGTATAACTATACCAATGTCACCCTCTGTAAATGAAGAAACAAAAGCCTATGTCAACGACAGAGAGCAATTTGTAATTAAACCACTCAACCTCTCAGTAGTGTGTTGCATTAAATCTGCCTCTAGGGGTTTTCAAACATCAAAACTTTTGCTAATCTTTCAATGTGGATTATGAATAGAATGCTGAAGATGCTACTTCCTATCACTGTAGACTGGAAGAAACAAAATGAATGAGCTCAAATAGGGAGCCAAAATACTAACCAATAACCAATTTTGTTTTCCTAGCTTTTTTTTTAAATCCTTTTTTCCAGCTCTTGAAGGACAAACAGGATTTAGTCACCCTTCCTATTAAGTTGTGCCTAAAACAACTTCATCAAAGAGCTCTTAATTTATTTACTGAGAATTCAGGGGAAGGATGTATATAATTACTCGTTAGATTCCGTTCTTTCATTTCTTTGCTATACAGTTTAATTATTTTGGAAAGGCAGCACTCATCCTGCTGCTTCAGCGTGCATCAAGATTAATGTCATTTTGCCATATTAATTAAAGTCTTGACAAAATGGAAAGTTAGAGCTTCAAAAAATGAGTCTCAGTGATTCTGTCAATGTTTCTGAAGGATTTTTTTTCCCCCTCAGAGATAAGATTATGACTCACGCATACAGCCTGTAAAACAAGTCATTTGGATGGACACTGTTCTATAATGTATGCTTTTTTCCCTAGAAATAGAAACATTTATCTGTTTAAGTAGGAAAGAAAATTCCCATAAAGTCATTCCTCTTGTTATCATATACTATATGGAGTACAGCTGCAACTGACAGAAAAATGTCACTAGCAGACATAAATATAATCATTTGGAACTACAATTTGCATTTCTTCTTTCTCCATGACAGTGTGTGAATGCAGATTTATGCATTATAAAAATATTTATATCTTCCTTCTAGTGCTTATATACCATTCAGAACAGCTTACAATATTTAACACCAATTATAAAATGCATTCTAGAAATTGATAGAGCATCTCAGTCCATCTCAGTGTCAGGGGAGAAGGGGGGGGAGGGCAAATGCACATTGTTGTGTCATTGTGATTTGTACCTGATGCCTATGTCTCTATCTTACCTGGTTTCTGTCTCTGTTGATATCTTCAAGCAGTATTTCAAAATATGAACAAGTTTTTTTGGTCCTGTAAGTAAAAGAGAAATAGTCTTCCATGCTACATATGAAGATTAATGAGAATGCATCCCCAAACCCTGACATTTTTATATAGAGAAAAATCTAGAACAAAACAAATCCTCGTAAGATGTAATGAACAAAAAGCCAAGGCATCAAATATCCTTTTCAAACTGATTCTAAGGGACAATTTGAATCACTGTAATTTAGTATTCCCAAATCTGTCCTAAACAAGTAGTCCAAAATAATTCCATATTTGATGGTATCAAATGCTACTCATAGATCAGTGTAGCAACAAGAACATGCTCCCTCTTGCATAGTTCCTCATACAGATCAGCACTAAAGGCAACAGGGATATTTCAGTATACAAACTGGGTCTGAAGCCAGACCGGGTACAGAATCTGTTTCATCTGTTTCATGCCAAATTGCTGAAACTGAAATGGCACTGCATTCACTAACTTCATAATTTGGGCTAAGTTCTGTTATTTAAAAATTTACCACTTTCCTTACATACCTATACAAAACTTCCTCTGACTGCTTTAATCAGCCATGTAAGGCAAGGAAGAAGCAAATAAATCATAGGCATCCTCACTTCTTATATGCATCCTTGCCTCTTTCAAACTC